TACATCTTCCAGCAATCCCGTCATAAGGGTAACACCTTGAGATGCAAGTGCCACACATACCACACCAAAACCTTGTTGCCTGATAGAGGCCAAATGAAAAAGAATTAACATTAAAAAGTTTGATTCATCATTTTCAAATTTGAAATCCACATTTAAAAGTTTAGCTATAATGAATGATATGACAACATGTGATGAAAACTTTAACTTACACTTTTGTCAAATTAATTCTAGTAGATGCTGAATCTTTCTTGCTAGGACTACGGCCTTTGTCATCTTTTTTGTCTTGCGTGACAGCTGCAGAAGATACCACAAGCATCAACTGATGGAGTCCTGTCATCACCAACCATGAGCCCATCAACTGTAGATTCTGGACATGCTGTAAAAGAAGAGAACAATTCAACATCTAAACTTTACTGAAGATAAGAATAATTTAACTCAAAGAAATACAAGACTTTCAAGTAAGATACCCAAATGACAACAAAACTTACATGTCCACCAGCTCTTGTGGAGGATCGTACAGCATTCAGTATCACATTAAAAAGGTCCAATGCCTTCTCTGCAATAGCTGGGGCTGCTGTGTCTATGTCATCTTCACGTGGAGGAGGTGGTGTCTGTATACAAGGAAACGTCAGCTGTTGATATTATTCATACTCTCTATGGTAATTCTATTTATTCATAATCTTTATTAAATATATTGAGGATCATACCCTCAGTAAAACTTGAAATACATCAATACCTTAGATGAAGATGTGGCTTGTGATGCAACTGCAATAATTGCCGTAGCAGTTGCAACTGTGAGAGCAGCCAAGAGAGCTGCCATTGCAATTGTAGACAGCTTTTGAAGTCTCGTAGGGTTCAGAGGTTCTAGTAAGGGTAATGACATAACACGCCACACTGTGCTAAGCTCCATAACGAAAGTTGTCAACCTGTAAAAGTTAGTGATAAGTGATACTTCAAATATTCTACAGACAGATGTTTGAAAAATATTCATTCATCAAAAGGTCAGCAGATCATTCAAATCCAAAAAAATTACTCTTACCCTGCTTTCACAACAAGAGCTTCTGAAACTGATGTTGGGAAACCATGACCTTTGCCTTCAAGCAGGTCTCTGTAACGCTGAGTATACTTGACAATGGTAGGGAGCCTGAGGCATACATCAATTAACTGTTCACCACCACCCAAGCTCTGAAGGGCTGACACACATCGTGTTGCAAACAAATTCTAGAAGAGACAAAAAACAAAAAATGTACTGCATTCTACAACTGATGAACATTTATATAACTTTTATCGATTCAGGTTTATGAGAGAACTGCACCGACTAGGAGAAAATTGAAGATCATAACATTATAGACAATGAAAAGCTACATTCATTGCTATCAAAATTGATTTGCAGAAGCAAACCTATTTGAGTTAAACAACAAAAATGTGGAGCACAGATTGCTGCACAGAGACTGTCCCCATGCCCCTCCAGCGACAAAGACCAGCCCTTATTGCATTACAACAAACAATTTAGCTGCACGGGAAACCAACATAAACTGTCTTGTCACATGTAGCTTGTGATGTCACAGCCAATTTCTTAGAAGTGCACTATAGTATAAAGTATCATTGTATTCTAATTAATGCAAAATTTTAACGAAATATGTATATATTAAATGTTCATTCTTTAAATACACGATGTGACTGATTTTATAATATACGTAATATAGTTTCATTAGAAATATATGGTACATCCATAATTGGGCATCGCTGCCCTTTCCCAGTAAATTTGACAGTTTTGTTGTCACAGTTTTCACTGCTTGTTCCAAAGTGAAGTTTGTTCACAGTGCTAGTTGTTTCTGATTTTATTTCTCTAACTTTGTGGTGAAATTCATCTCTCACTGAAATCATTATAATATTGGGGATAATACTAAACTCAGTGAAATACAATAACCGTGTCCCAGTTGCAGAATTTCGTCAGCGGTTCCTCACTTCCTAACCACTGTCCCCTCAACCTTAAGGAAACTCAACTTGTATCTCTAAATTTAGTCGGTGGCAATCTAGAGAACCCGTTAGGGAAATACGGCAATCAGAAGGGGGTCTGGGAGCAGAGCCCCTATTAGGTAAATATGGCAATCGGGAGGGGGTCTGGGAGTAGAGCACATGGTAGAGTAATAGGGCAACTGGGAGGGGGTCTGGGGGTGTAGCCCCTGGGCTGTGAAGGTTTATGGTTCATACGGCATTTAAAATGAGGTTCACTCAGTCATTTGTTTGCACACCGCCATGTTGAATAATCCGTGGCCGAATCTTGTCTTATGTTTTTACATTTTCCACTTTCTTTGTCATATGAAATATTATTCTTGGCTTGGATTTTCCATTTTTCACATTCTTTTGTTTTTTAAAATGCTTGATATGAACAAAATCACCCCACCCATCCCCATTTGTTGGCAGGAGTTGGGGACTCGGTCTCTGACAAGTGCAGTCCTGTTGTAATCATTTACCCTTTTTTCCTTTATTAATATCATATAATAATAGTTAGTATTTAATAATCAATGTTTAATATACTATAACCTAATCTATATTCTCAAACTTATCAATATAACAAACTTACTCTCATATCTAAAGCAGAATCTGATACCCCAGTCAGAGGTCCATCACCATCTTTATCTGCCTGTGCAGGAGGCGTAGGCGAATGGGGGGGACGAGGCCTTGAGCCACCAAGATCATGTAAGGGCGAGATCAGCTGCTCCAAGATAACAGCACTGGGATCACTCCTGCCACGCCGCATCTCTTTGGATGCTCCCTGATCCTTGTCACCTAAAGATAACAAAAACAATTAGAACTTGTAATCAGTCAAACATTTCCCTGGTACGTGGGACTTTGCAAAAAGAAGTGTTTTCAAAAATACACACATATACAAATGTAACTTTGTTCATCTTTAAAAATACAAAAGACAAAATGAAGACCCCCCCAAAAAATACTACATTAACCCATGTTGATGATGGTCAACAGTTCACACAACACAGTTAGATGATTAATTACAGACCTTTCTATGTGTGTGTACACATTCTGATTTTTCTTTCTTTGTACATTGTAAATGTCACATAAGGATTCTTTGCTTTCATGCAATAGTTAAGGTGTAATGAGAAGCTGCAACATGATTTTACTTAGTGGAAATTGTTCTACGACTAAAATAAGTTTATCCTTTCACAAATGACATGTAAACACTCCCATTAACTAGGCACCTAGTCTTTTTCAGTGTAACCCAACTAATGCTATAACAATATTCCCCATTCATACTTAACATTATACATTATCCCAACACCAGCATTTCTTTTTCACTGTTATTTTTTGAAGTTTGTTCTTCATAAAAGGTATGGTAAACCGACAAGACAGAAGGTGGGGCATCTTTCAGACTTTAAAATCTGCTACTTAAAAAGAATTGCCTCAGCTTCAAAGTAGGTTGGTGTGTAGGGGGTAGGGTGATAAGGCAGGGAAAGGGTTCGAGGGAGAGGAGTAAAGAGTAACTGTTTTCATGCATTTGCATGTGTGAATTTGTGGATGGGCTTTTCTGTGTGCATGCATATACTGTTAATCACCAAGACTAATATATACAACATGCACATATACAAAGGGTAAGCAACAACAAATGTTAACAAGCTTCTGCTTAAGCATCAGACAAAGGGCATTAACCCCTATGATCCAGATGACATGACCATCATTTCAGGAGTTCCAGGATGGCGGGAACTTGCCCTCATGAGAATTTTGCTAAAGAACAGGGTAACAGGAATAACTCACCAAAAGTGCAAATACTTTTGGGGGGTGATAAGACTCAGTAGGCATTTAGAAAATGGCTTTTTCATTATTACCATTGATAAACAAGTATGGAATATACTATCCATGAGCCATTACTGGCAGAGTGCCAGCTCCATGAAGGATGCTATTTCCATGCTCAGGATCCTATTCCTGTTCACCATGATCAGTGGCACAGGTTGTATAACAGATAATTTAATATTGCAAAAAAAAAAAAAAAAAAAAAAAAATCAAAATGACATAAATAGCAAGATGTTACTTACTGTTTATGCAGAAAAAGAGAAAATAATATTTCCAAGGGGAGGTATGGATTTTTTCACCACATATGGATGATTGTGTGTGCCCAGCCTAGTGAAGCATCTGGATCCAAGGGGTTAAATCTCAAAAACTAAGAAAATCAACATTAAGTGTAAACAAGAAATAACAGAACATCAAAGGCAAATTACACAAAAACCAAAAACTACTTTGCACTATCCCCTGTTGGTAACAAACCTGGTGGAGGAGAGGTACCTGGAGCCACAGTCTTGATATGTGGAGGAAGCTTTGCTGCTTTCATGGCTGCCGTCAGAGAGGCCTGGTCTGCTCGGTGGAGGGCCCCCGATCCACGGCAAAGGGCCTTGATCCCCGTCAGGAGGTGCTTGTCATGGACGCAAACCATCCGCTCTTTCTCCCCACCACTTCTAAGAGTACAACTTAATCATTTAAAGTGGCACTACGATTAGACACAAGAAGAAAATTAATTGATTTTTACTATGGTTACCAAGATTGGTCTTACTACGAAGTTGTGGTAAAATTCAAGAAAACAACTACTCAGCAGAAACATGCATTCCTATCAAGACACTTTTCTTAACATTATTTTCTGTGTTAAGCAACCTTGCTATATATTCTTGGTTTCACTGTAAAACACATTTGCATCATATAAAAAAAATTAAGAACTGAACGCGTACAGCACATGATTTCTCTAAGAGTGTAATATATAACATTTATTATAACAGGTTTATAGCAAGAATTAAACTCACTCTCCACTAGATGAAGTTGCAGTGGTGCTAGTAGTAGTTGTGGATGATGCTGTTGTTGAGGTTGTGCTTGCAGCTGTAGCAATCGGCTGGGTGCTGCTGCTTGTTGATGGGGTTGTCACAGTCGAGGTTGTTGAGCTGCTTGAACCAGTGCTCCCAGTAGCAGTGGTGCTTGCAGATGAGTTTGTAGTTGTATTCGCATTTGATGGTGCTGGAGTTGTGATTGAGGTTGGTGGGTTTCCTACACGTCCAGCCAGGAACTGGAGAAGCACCTTTGCTGCACTCACAGTCTGGCCAACTCCACCTACACTCACTGAGAAATTTGCACAGAATTGTCAATATCAGATTTAAACTTAAAAATTAACAAAAAATATTACCACATAGCAGGTGTTGAAGACAAGAATAAAGAGAGGAAGGATAATAAAAGAAGGTAACAGAAGAGAAGAAAAGAGAAACAGAGAGAAGGGGAAAGGTGAGGTGAGGTGAGGTGAGATGAAGTGAGGCAAGGCAAGGCAAGGGAAAGCGAGGTGTGGTTTGGTCAGGTGAGCTGAGTTGAGGTGAGGCAATGCAAAGTGTGGTTATGTGAGGTGAGGTGAAGTGAAGTGAAGGGAGATGAGGTGAGGTGTAGTTAAGTGAAGTAAGGTGAGGTGAGGTGAGGTAAGGCAATGTGTGGTTAGGCGAGGTGAGGTGAGATGAGGGAAACTGGAAGCAGATAGGGAATAGCAGTAGTAGAAGAGGAGAAAGGAGGAAAGGTTGGAGGAGGAGGAGAAGAAAGAGGAGGAGGAGGAGAAAGTGGAAGAGAATTAAGAGGAGGAGGAAGAGATGAAAAGGGAGAGGTAAAGGGAGGAAGGGGAGGGGAAAGAAAAGGAGATGAAGGAGACAAAGGGAGAGGTGAAGGGAGGAGGAGGAAGGGAAAGAAAAGGAGATGAAGGAGACAAAGGAAGAGGAGGAGTGATGAAAGGAGAACTGAAAAGATGGGAAAGGGTATGGAGGAGTGATAAAAGGAGAACTGAAAAGAGATGGGAGAAACAGGTAGAGGATATGGTAGAACAAGACGAACAAGCCATGCAGTAGTAAGCAGAAGGAAGAAAGGAAAAAAAAGTTAAGGAAAGAAAAAAAAAGAACAACAACTAAGGAAGAAGGGAAATAAAAAAGAAAAAGAAGATAATCATAAGACAGCTGTACATCATTTCAAACAGGAGCTCAATGAAACTCACCCTGATGGGCATTACTGGCCAAATAGTCAGCAGCCAGTACACAAAAGGAGGCGTAGAAGGGCTCATACTGTTCTTCATGATGTAAGATTTCTTCTTTGCTGTGAGAAAAGTTCAAATGTCAGCATCATTTATCCACAATGGGAACATGGCACACAAATGATGAAAAAAGAAGTAAACCAGATAATCTTTCCCCTTTAAACCAAAACTCCATACCTGGCAAAACAAACAAATCAAGAACAATTCTTTAAATGCCATAGTGTTTAATCCCCTACTCTAATTAAGCAAATGTCAAGTGTAACTCACTGATGTTCATCATTTGTTCTTACATGGAAGTCCACACAGTAATCAAATTCTATGTTATTCCACACCACATATTTCTTATTTTGTGATGTACTTTATCCTATAAACACCAAAATCTTCAATATAAGCAAACAGAACAATGGTATTCATCACACTCTTGAAAATCTGTAGTCTTTAAATCTCCACCTGAATATTCTTATCTGTCTTGTTACTTACCATCAAATATATAAACTTTATTTCACATTTCATCAAATTCACTCAATTCTATCAAATAAGCTAAACTCTAACTTCAGTCCTATTCCCTAGCAACTGGTTACAGCTGCTCATAATAGAAATGCTACAGTACAGTCGAGAATGCAATACAAAAAAGGGGGGGGGGCAGCAGGACACCTGTTTTGTAAGACACTGATGTAATGACTATGATGATATTCAGTCTCAATCTCAATACCTAATCCATAGGGCGCTGGTAGGCACATATCACGCATACTCATGTGCTTTTTAATGTTTGTGTCAAAGTTACTGAAGCTTCCTAAAAAAAAAATATGTCATCTCAAAGATATGTGATCTTAATGATTACACTGTTCATGTAAGATGACAAATACTAATAAAATTTTATGAAAGGTCAATAGCAACACTGAATTGAATATATCATTTGTGAAAGATGTAGCATAAGACTCCTAAAATAACAGATATAAATTACTCAGCACAATATTCCAGTGACAAGTAGTTTCAAACAACAGAGTATTTTTTTAATCATAAAATTATCATATTACTAAATTTTCAACAAATCAATTCCATTTACTTAAACAGGAATAACAACCTACATACTTCAATCTTTTCAATAAAGTTAAGGAAGGTTGTTACACAGTATATAAGAGCTCTACATATATCCTATATCCAAATAAGGGAAAAATGGAAGTATGTTCAATATTCTTCACTTTAACTTTTTAATTTCTAATTAATAAAAAAATATAATTATCTACATAACTCCGGAAGTAACAAACAAACCCACAATAACAATCACATCATTAACATTAACAATAATATCATTAACAACAACAACAACAACAACAACAACAACAATAATAATAATAATAATAATATATAATAATAATCATCAATCATCATCATCATCATCATCATCATCATCATCATCATCATCACAACAACAATATCAATAATAAAAATAATAATAATAATAATAATAATAATAATAATAATAAATAATAAAATATAATAATAATAATAATAATAATAATAATAATAATAAAAACAACAAAACAAATAATACAAAAATAATAACAACAAACAATAATAATATAATAATAGTAATAATAGTATTATTATAATATAGTAATAATAATAATAATAATAATAATAATAATAATAATAATAATATAATAATAATAATAATAATAATAATAATAATAATAATAATAATAATAATAATAATAATAATATATAATAAATAATAATAATAATAATAAATAATAAATAATATAATAATAAAATAATAATAATAACAATAACAATAATAACAATAACCAATAATAATAATAATAATAATAATAATAATAATAATAATAATAATAATAATAATAACAATAATAATAATATTAATCTCCATATCCTCACCATCATCATCATCACCACCACCACCATGCAAATAGGCCTATAAAGTAAATACATAAACCAAGAGCTGGTATATCAAACAATGCACATATACTGAATTTTATGATGAACATTTAGTTCACACAAGATACCTGACAAGATTGGGACAAAAATATTGCACCACTTTACACTCTATGTCTTTAAGTTCCTTTTAATCAAGAAATATTCTAGACAAATTCTGCATTCAGTAACTTTATCAACACATTAAGGTATTTAGAATCTGTAAACATTCTGGATTTCTTCAATCTTTTCATAATCCTGCAACAATAAACATTTATACTAATATTTGATAAGACACTTGATAAGCTGATAAAGCTTCCCCACAAAAGAATTTTAAAGAAAATGTTCATAATGAAATTCACTTCTTCAGCACTGCACTTCTTCAGCTTCTGCAAACCTTTTAAAGACCTTAAACTTGAACCTTGATCATATTCCATAAATACTGATGAAATACACCTTTATACAAAAACAAACAAACAAACAACTACCATTTCATACAATTGACAAATATTCCTTTAACTAGATACTCAAATTAACATTAGAAATTATTAAGACACAAAACCCTGTTCATACTATGAGTATATAACCAAGAAACAATAAATAACAAACAAGCCTACAGCTAAACCTCAAATATGCCATAACCCAGATTAACACATTTTTTCTATTATATACATTAATGGCCATGTAAAATATCCTGATATACTGCAAATCGTCCAAGAATAACATTGCATTAGACACACGTAAACAATAACTTTATGCGAAATCAGTGAATAAATAAATAAAATAAAGACGGTCTATAAATATTCTCGAATCTTACTTCTATCAGCTGATCGTGACAGGAAACTCAAAATTTCAGCGCATACACACACTTTTACAAAAGAGTATAAAACAACAACTACGTAAATCGATCGTGGATCTGTTCCTCTTCGGCCATATCCGCTGGTAAATACCTGAAGAGGTCATATAACGAGAAAATAGAGCAACGTCTCCTTCCGTAAATGGGAGGAGCTCCAATTTCGCCAGGTCACCTCCCGACTCGACCCATTTCCAGCCAAACTGTCATTCTCACGTGTTTTTCACAACACCTACCTCTTTAATATAGACTTCACTAATTCAGGAAGGTCCTGTTTGTTCACGGAGCCATATGAAGCCGCCAAAATGGGCTTCACAAGTTGGCTCCATTCTACACCGCCACTTGTCGCCGCCATGTTTACTCTCCAGCTGACGACGCTCAGTGCGACATCTGCCTGCAAGACGAGTAACTAATATGCGTTTTGGCGAGCAACCTCTACCAAGATATGTTGAGTTCTTATTTTGATAGGGTTGCAGGTATTCTTGGCAAATACTTGTATGGGTGATTCATTATATAATATTAGCTAATCGGCGTAAGATATTGCTATTTAGCTGCTTCGGAGGAAATGTCAACAGGGAAACTCAGACAACACTTGGATATTATTTAGATAGCGTCCGTCAACCCAAAGCAAGAAATTTTGGTAAAAGTTGCCAAAATTCGGCTTAGGAATGTTTTGTCATGTGTGAAGTTGATGGACTGTCAGTGGTAAACAGTAATAACTTGTGTAACGATAAATGAGTGCAGGAATATAATACTATGTTTAACATTCTGTTCAGAATAATCTTTTATCTGACAATGATATTCAAATACGCATTTTCACAGCTGTATCTATTGTTGCTAACTATGGCCTGTTATACAAGTAAATCAATCTAAAACATGGATTTTTTTTTATTCTTAACATAAATGCTTTCTACAAAATGCACTTCCTGTTAAAACTATTTATAGAGGCTTTGCGTGCGAGTTAGGATCACAGTTTCACCATGTTACCTTCCCAAGGAAAAGCATGTGAAATAAACGTGAAATGACAAAAATACTATCATTAGACTCGCGAAATTGTATGTTTGAGGGACTGATCATGAGGAAATTTATAGCTGCGAGGTAGAAGGAAATTATGGCCAGAATAATATTGATTACCGATGTCTCTTCCTACCACTCTGCTCTCTCTCTCTCTCTCTCTTCTCCTCTCGTCTCTCTCTCCTTCTTCTCTCTCTCCTCTCTCTCTCTCTCTCTCTCTCTCTCCTTCCTCTCTCTCTCTCCTCTCTCCCTCTCTCCTCTCGTCTCTCTTCTCTCTCTCTCTCTCTCGTCTCTCTCTCTCCAATTCTCTTCTCTCTCTCTCCTCCTCTCCCTCTCTCTCTCTCTCTCTCTCTCTCTCTCTCTCTCTCTCTCTCTCTCTCTCTCTCTCTCTCTCTCTCTCTCTTCTCCTCTCTTCTCTCTCAATCTCTCTTCCTCTCTCTCTCTCCTCTCTCCTCTCTTCTCTCTTCCTCTCTCCTCTCTCCTCTCCCTCTCTCTCTCTCCTCTTTCTCAAGCGTCCCCCTCCCTCCTCATTTCTCTCCCTCCCCCTCTACTTCTCTCTCTCTCTCCCCTCTTCGTCTCTCTCTTCTCTACTCTCTCTCTCTTCTCTCTCTCTCTCTCTCTCTCTCTCTCTCTCTCTCTCTCCGTCTCTCTCTCTCTCTTCTCTCTCGCTCTCTCTCTCTTCTCGTCTCTCTCGCTTTCTCTCTCGTTCTCTCCTCGTCCTCTCTCTATCTCTCTCCCTCTCCCCCTCTCTCTCCTCTCTTCTCACTTTCTCTTCCTCTCTCTCTCCTCACTCCTCTTCTCTCCTTTCTCTCTCTCTCTCTCTCTCTGCTTCTCTCTCTCTCGTCTCTCTCTCTCTCTCTCCTCTCTCTCTCTCTCTCTTTCTTCTCTCTCTCCTCTCTCTCCTCTCTCTCTCTCTCTCTCTCGTCTCTCTCTCTTCTCTCTTCTCATTCTCTCTCTCTCTCTCTCTCTCGCTCCTCTTCTCTCTCTCTTTCTCTCTGCTCTCTCGTCTATCTCTCGTCTCTCTATCTAACGCTCACGTCGACTCGTCTCTATCTCTACATACGTTCTGCTCCTTTGCTCGCTTCTCTCGCTCTTCTCTCCCTCTCTCTATCTCTCAAGCTCTCTCTGTTGCTTTTCCACACTGACTCGTCGTCACTAGCCCCCTTGCACATCCTACGAAGCCGTAGCCTGCCCAAGCCTCTCTCTCGATCTCTCTCTCTCTCTTCTCTCTCTCTCTCTCGTCTCTCCTCGCTCTCTCCTCTCTCTCTCTCTCTCTCTCTCATCTCTCTCCCACTCTCTCTCTTTTCTTCTCCTCTCTTATCACACACCTCTCTCTCCTCCTCTCTCTCTCTCTCTTCTCTCTCTCTCTCTCTCTTCTCTCTCGTCTCTCTCTCTCTCTCTCTTTCTCTCTCTCTCCTCTCTCTGTCTCTCTCTCTCTCTCTCTCTCTCTCTCTCTCTCTCTCTCTCTCTCTCTCTCTCTCCTCTTCTCTTCTCTCTCTCATCTCTCTCTCTCTCTCTCTCTCTCTCTTCACTCTCTCTCTCTCTCTCTCTCTCTCTCTCTCTCTCTCTCTCTCTCTCTCTCTCTCCTCTCTCTCTCTCTCTCTCTCTCTCTCTCTCTCTCTCTCTCTCTCTCTCTCTCTCTCTCTCTCTCTCTCTCTCTCTCTCTCTCTCTCTCTCTCTCTCTCTCTCTCTCTCTCTCTCTCTCTCTCTCTCTCTCTTCTCTCTCTCTCTCTCTCTCTCTCTCCTCTCTCTCTCTCTCTCTCTCTCTCTCTCTCTCTCTCTCTCTCTCTCTCTCTCTCTCTCTCTCTCTCTCCTCTCTCTCTCTCTCTCTCTCTCTCTCTCTCTCTCTCTCTCTCTCTCTCTCTCTCTTCTCTCTCTCTCTCTCTCTCTCTCTCTCTCTCTCTTTCTGCTTACACAATGGAGACCCAGGGCAGTTTCTCTGTCTTGACGGAGATGGGCATTTCGGCAAGTGAAACGAATGCCGAAAACGAACGAACAAAGAAAAAGGCAAAGGAGCAGTTAAGTAACAAATCGGCAGAGCTTTTATCCTCGAGCCATCTATGTGGACGCTTCGAGAGGGATACGAGGCTAGCAAGTTTCTCACGATGCCTACCAAGGAAAGCACGATAAGTATAGACAGAGAATAAAAGTATAAACAAAGGAAAAGCAAGAAGTAAAAGAAATTAGAAAATAAGAGGAAAAGGAAGAACAAGGCAAAGTTGTAGTGATAGAATGGTAATAATAATAAGCAGAAGATAACGTAGCAGAAATATTAATAGTAATAGAAAAAAAGAAGAAAGAGAAATTCCTTTTTTTTTTTTTTTTTTTTTTTTTTTTTTTTTTTTTTACTTGCAGCCATCCCCATACGTAGGCTTTGGGGAAAGAGGTCCACGGGATAGAAGAAGAGGGAAAAGAGGGAAGGAGAGGGTAAGAAAGAGGAGAGAGAAGGCGCGAATAGAGGGCCGGAATATTTTATGGTGACGACTTCTTTCATCCATGGCCGAATGTACCAAGTTAGCGCGACTGTCCGCCACACCCGCTTCCGCTCCCCTCTTCCCATCCTCTCCTCCATCCCCCTCCCCTCTCTCCCCTCTCCCTTCATATTCCAATCTTCCATCTCTCTCCTCTCCATCTTGCTTT